ATAATTTGGCATTTTCTATGGGCAGCAATTGTTGTTTCTGATCAAACTATGTAAATTCTACAAGTCAATTTCCCAGCTGAGAAAAAATTTTCACCATGTTGACTGAATTAAAAACATTATGGAAATATGATCATTGGGCAAAATCACAGAAAGCTATATATGCAGTTGCAAATTAACTGAAATCAACAGGAATGATTCATTCCATAGTCATTTACAGGCTTTGACTTCTAGTCAATCAGAAGTAAAGTTAGAAGTATGTGTATACATGTCTTAGTTCAAGCTACTATAACAAAAATCCCATTAACTGTGTGGTTGAAACCACAAACATTTATTTTTCACAGTTCTGAAGGCTGGGAAGTCCATGATCGAGGCACCAGCAGATCTGATGTCTGGTGAGGGACCACTTTCTAGTCTCCTTGTGTCCTCACATGGCCAAGAGAGCAAGCTCTAGTCTCATTCTTTCCTTATAAGGACACTAAGCAGGGGCACTGCACCCTCATGGCCTCGTGAACCTAATTACCTCCCAAAGGCCCCACCTCCTACTACCATGCTACTGGGGTTAACAAGGAATTCTGGGGGAAACAAACATGCAATACAAAACAATACAAGAGTGATTTTACACTGCACTCTGGAATATCCTGGACCACAGCCTCTCACCTCAGTTTCAAAAAAAATGTTATACTCTGTTTGATGTACTAAGTTTTCGGTAAATTTTTCATTTAAAGAATTAATTCCTCTTTTATATAAAATTTGATCTACAGATTTTGGTCAACATGTCCTAGTGAATGAATGCAAACTTTATTTTTCAGCACAGGAAAGAAAATTTCCCATGTACTTTGCCAGATACTTTGATTACTAGAAATAAAATTATTTGAGATGAAGTGGTTCAAGTCCCACTTGCAGCTTATAAATGATTTGACCTACAAGTTAAAGATTTAAACAGTGCATTGAGATAAATACTTGGTTGCTATATACAACAATTTGTTCACCTACTTTACAGGAAATCCCTGACCTTGTTATATTTTATAGATTTGTCATCAGAAAAATCTGCCATTTTATTGTTTTGACTGTTAACTTGATACTGCATCCAAGCAACTTATTTTTTAGCATATGCTTCTACAATTTCCTATTAGCATTATTTATCAACATTGCTATAAATAAGTTGTTTGTTTCCAAGAAAGATATGTTTTACAAAAATAAATACCGAGCCTTTGTTCTCAGTTGGGTTTTAAAAAAATCTGTTAGTTTTTGGCTTTTTGTTATGCACATATATTAGCCTTTAGGAGAAATATACATTTCCTCTGCAGCAATTCACTTTCTTGTTTGAGATCTGGAACCCCTTCTGCTCCCTTCATAGTTTAAGGAAAAGGATTATTGCTAAAAGGTATTTGATCTTATAATTACTATCAGAAAGTAGGCTTTACACGTGTAGATTTCTATGAGGTAGCTACAAGGCAGCAGAAACTATTAGCTAAAAGCACTGCTTTTAGAACTAATCTGCCCACGTGTTGTCACTTAACTGGTGGTAGTACTTGATGGCTGTGTGACTTTAGGCTGGTTACTGAGTCTTGGCTGTATTTGTCTCAACTGGAAAATGGCGATAATCATAGTATCTACTTCAAAGGGTTGTGAAAATTAAATTAGCTGATGCATGTAAAAGATTAGCACAGTGCCTCACACCAAGTAAGTGCTAAAGTTATTCTTTTTTCAATCATTATGTGATTGGTATATGTCCTATAAAAAGATAATATAAACAAATTATTTGCCCCCTAAATGGTCAGGGCTTTTTGTTTGTTTTGTATAACAATCTCAAAATCTCATCAGACTATAACAAACATGAATTGTCATGGTGAGATGTCTGCATGCTACCTGGAACTAGGTTCGTCTAAGCTGGGTGCATGTTTTAGGTTTATGCATATTTTTCCAGGGACAAAGCCAAGGACACAAAAGGCCCCTGATGAGTCACCTTTGTTAATATGACATGGCCCAAGGCCCCGGTCAGCTCCACTACACTGCAAAGTTACATGACAGAGGGAGTAAATAAAGAATTGAGAACCATAATCCAAACTCCTGCCTAAGGATCAGAGGGTTTTCACCCAGAATTCTCCAAAAATGAACTTTACATTAATACATGCCCATTGATACTGGATGGATGAAGCTAACCCTTCCATTACCCTTTAATGCTAACTATAATGTAACACAAATTAACCCGTTAAAAATAAAAACAAAATTTTGCACATGCAATATTATGTTATAATGTCATCTTATTGAAAATTTTTGATTTATTAAAATTACCAGGCGTATTGACTTTTTAAAAGTAATCTTGACCTACAAAATGAAAGATAATTTAATACTCAGACGATAAACTCAAATATCTTTGGGAACTAGATAGGCAACATAAATCTGTGAAACAACTAGTCATAAGGGACTGGAAGTACAAAGGACTGTAAGCAAATTGACTATATATGTGGGCATTCAAATGTGTCAACCTTAAAGATGAGATTTAGAAAACATGATTAATTGTATAGTTTATGGAAATGCAAGGCTTAAGGATAGCCACCCGGGAAACACTGACTCCAAATGAATGGGATCAGCATTTTAAAGTGGAGGATTTCACGTTTCACTGACCATAAGCAGACAGAGAAATTTAAGCAGGATTATGTAATTTTTTAAAATATAAGACCAGTGTATACTTACAGTGATTTGATTAGTTACAGATTGCTATTAAAACATTTCAAGGAAGAGTACTTTCTTACTCTGTGGGGAGTGATGATCTGAGGGTGGTCTTATCTCTGGCACCCTTTCGTATTCCTGATTATTTGCAGAAAAAAAGGCAAAAGTTGGAGTGCATGCCTCAAGACTCAGGCCACATAGCCACATTCCTTTTAAAGCTCAGAACACTTTAAGGTTCCACCAGCTTTATATTTGAATTACTTAATTTCACAACTGTGGTGTTTATATTAAACACTGTGCTGGCCAAATAAAATACCATCAGTTTGTAATGCCAAATTATTGAAATTTTTATTACCTGAAAAAGAAGGAAAAAATTACTACTAAATTTTATTTTCACTATGCTCAAAAAAAAAAAAAAGAAAAAACAGGGCATTTATATCCTATGCATTAGAAATATTACTGCTTTAATGTTTGCTTATATAGCTTTTTATACCTTTCAGATTGAGGAAGTTCCAGGAGAGTTCACCCAGGATGATTTAGCAGAAGATGATGTCATGTTACTAGATGCTTGGGAACAGGTAAAACTACACTTTGTTCATAACAAGAGAATACATTTTGGGTTGGGAGATGACAGAACTTGCTTTGAGAAATGGTAAGTCTAGATATAAATGAGTCTAAAGATTTAGACTGTATTAAAATACACACACACACACACACACACACACACGGAGTAAAAAATGAAACTAATACATATGGCACGTTGATTTCTTACTATGAAAATATTCCAGAGCTACCATCTTTGGTTTTACAGTTGTAGGCAAAAAATTATGTTTTTTTTTATTTAATTGTAAAAGTTACTCATTCCTAATTTGTTTATAATTCATTTAACTAATAAGTGCATTAGTGTGTACAATGTCCTGGGGGTACAATGCCATTTAGGAAAGCGACATATCCAAAGTTTCTCTTGAAATTTGACAGGAAGTCATGGGTACCCCTCCCTTAGGGAAGAAAACAGGCAAAATAGTTTTGAATCTACACGATAAAATATGTTACTGTTTTATGTATCTTAATTTTCAAGAAAATCAATGGTGATTCGACATGCCACATCGAATAGTTTTTTTAACGTCCACGTAAATTAACAGTGAAAGAGAAAAGTACATACTTTATGAATTAAATCATATAGAACAAGTGTGAAATGCTTATCTGAATTAGGCCTAGTCTTAGAGTCAAGCACAGAGATTGTTCCTTTTAAGTTTGTTCCCAATTGACAAACCATTCAGTTATATCACACCCTAGCTTCTGATCTACAACGACTATGTTTGACTTGATGGCCCAACATCAGATTCTTGCCAAGTTAATGAATTACCTATTTCTAGATTAGATTTAAATCTCCAGGTCAATAAAACACTCTGTGTATTTAAGAATTTATGCAGCTGGGTGCACAGTGGCTCATGCCTGTAATCCCAGCACTTTGGGAAGCTGATGAGGGTGGATCACGAGGTCAGGAGTTCAAGATCAGCCTGGCCAACATGGTGAAACCCCATCTCTACTAAAAAATACAATATTTATCCGGGCGTGGTAGCAGGTGCCTGTATTTCCAGCTACTCAGGAGGCCGAGGCAGGAGAATTGCTTGTACCTGGGAGGCAGAGGTTGTAATAAGCCGAGATCACCCCACTGCACTCCAGCCTAGGTGACAGAGCAAGACTCTGTCTCAAAAATAAGAATAGTAATAACAAAAGAATTCATGCTTCCTTACTGATATATATTTAATTTTTCTTATATTTAGTCAACTCTGTTGTTTCTGTAATCATCGATACTTTTTAGAATATTTACCATGCCATCTTTCATTTTTTAAAATCATACTTTTTATTTACTCTACCATGCTGTCATGGTTTGTTCCGTGCCCTGCACGCAAATATTTCAGCACTTTCTGTATGAATTAGAGTACAGTCTAAACATAACAGACCAAAATTGCTCTGCCAACAAGTGATTTTAAAGTGATTTCAATGGCCAGGCGCCGTGGCTTACGCCTGTAATCCCAGCACTTTGGGAGGCCAAGGTGGGCCGATCACGTAGTTGGAGACCAGCCTGGCCAATGTGGTGAAACCCCATCTCAAAACAAAAAGTGATTTCAATGTAAGGTAATTTAGGAATTTTTTTTTCATCATTAAAGTACCCAACCCACACATTTGACAAGGAGGATATATACAGATTGCATAATTTATCACTTTTTAAAAAAAACCTTACTATTTAAACACTAAACATTATAGCATTTTTACCAACATCTTATAGGGAGGGCACGCTACTAGAGGAGAAAAACACTAACCTTAAGTCAGAGGTTCCTAGAGGGAGTCTGGGATCACCAGTCAACAAGCTCTGTGTCTAGATGTGGTCCCTTCCAGCCGACGTCCACATCTAGGAAACGGGGATAGTGACTGTGTAAGTAAGGCCAAGAGAAAATCTCCCCTTCGCTGTCCGAAGGGTCACATAAAAATCAGTTGATAAAAGGCAGATTAATAGGAGAAAAGACATACAAATACATGAATGTGCACAGGAGTCATATAGAATGTAATAACTAAAGAAATGGCCAGATGGTTGATGCTTTTGTACCATTTTGAAGTTACAGAAAGAATGGGGGATTGGAGGAGGGCAAAGCTGGTTATGGGAGACAGAGAAGAGGCCTCGCCAGGAAAGGTGGTGATGTTACAGATAAAACTTCACATAAAGTATAGATGGTAAATGTTTCTTTCAAACCTTTAAGGGTATCAGACTCTCAGTAAATCCTCCCTAGATGCCAAAAAGGGAGGGCCTCAGAGAAAGCCTGCTGTATCAATGCAGATTCTCTACAGATGCAAATCTCCTTCCACAAAAGGCAGATTTGCAGGGCTATTTCTGTTTGCTAGTCCCCTGAACAGCTATATTGAAATATGTCAAAGAAGTGTATTTAGAGGTGAAATATTTTGGTTTCCTTCGACTGCCATCACACCCTAGGGGGTGGATGAAAAAAAAATCCACCCAATCTGTTGTTTTTGTGAAAGATCACCTTACAAAGTAGAAAATACCATGTAAACATAAAATATCCAAGTGTGAAATGTGAAATGAAACTGGTTGGATATAAATTTAGATGTCTCCTGATGAGTGTGAACACTGGGAAAGTGATGGTACCTCTCTGAGTCACCGCCTCCACCTCCCTAACTTCTGGGGATGTTGTGAGGATTCAATGAGCAGTGTGTGTGTGAAGCACTTTGCATAGGGCCTAGTACTGAGTCAACACCCCAGAAACCATACATATTGTTATTGTTTCATTTTTCAGATATTTATTTGGATTGGCAAAGATGCTAATGAAGTTGAGAAAAAAGAATCTCTGAAGTCTGGTAAGCTGAATCAATGGACAACTATGGCAGTAACCTGTCGCTATTATGACCAAGTGTCTGACTGCTCTTTGCCACCATGTCTTACAATAATACAATTCAAAATCGAGAAGTAGTTTAGCATTCATCCTCAAAACTAAAGAGTAATGGGATTTTTTGAACTGAAGAATTTCAGAATAGGCACAAGAAAAAATATGTTATCTAATTTAAAATAGAATTATATCAAGGTAACCTGAAAAACTTAAATTCACTTCAACCTTTGTTTTATTATACGAAGAGTAAAACCTCCATGACTGCAATAAGCCAGATTTTTTAAACTTCCTTTTGACTAATGCTGTTCTTTCTGGCACAATTTTCCTTTTATTGCAAAGTATAACAATAATTATGCCACAAGGACAGTTCCATAAATCTTGGAATTCTTTCAGGCATTAATGAGACTCACATGATGCCTTTCATGGCAAATGACAGAAATCAAATGAAATCGTTTTTATTTGTCTACCTGGTCAATGGAAATGTAATTCATTACCTTCATTTGAAGAATTTTATTCAAATTTTATTCATTTTCAACGTGGCCAGTATTTGTTCTTCAAGAAATTTATTTTATTACTTTTATTGGAAGAATTTTCTATCTATATTTACTTTAGTTTAAACCAAACTAACTGAATTTATATGTCTTTATAACTCTTTTTAGCAAAAATGTACCTTGAGACAGACCCTTCTGGAAGAGACAAGAGGACACCAATTGTCATCATAAAGCAGGGCCATGAGCCACCCACATTCACAGGCTGGTTCCTGGGCTGGGATTCCAGCAGGTGGTAAATCCGGTGTTTGTAAAAAGCAAACATTACAAGCCAGTTATCCCATTGGTGTTTTGGTAGAGGAAAAGAAAAAGCTTTTTTGTTTATTTGTCTTTTGAAAATTAAGGCCAGGGTGGTGGCTCACGCCTGTAATCTCAGCACTTTGGGAGGCCAAGGCGGGTAGGTCATTTGAGGTCAAGAGTTAGAGACCACCCTGGTCAACATGGAAAAACCCCATCTCTACTAAAAATACAAAAAAATTAGCTAGGCATGGTGGTGCGCACCTGTAATCCTAGCTTTTCGGGAGACTGAGGCAGGAGAATTGCTCGAGCCCGGGAGGCTGAGGTTGCAGTGAGCCGAGATTGTGCTACTGCACTCCAGCCTGGGCAAGAGAGTGAGACTTTGTCTCTAAAAATAAAAAAATTAAAAAAAAAATTAACCTCAACCAAACATATTTTTTAATGCTTAGTTTTGGTTTGAAATTCTTCTTAAACTGGAATTTTCTTACATTAATATATTAAAATAACCTAAAGGAAACTTTCATTATGGGCCAATATTAGCTCTTCTGGAAACTGATTTATATCTTTTTTTTTTTTATGACTTTTAAACATAAATTAGTATGCACAACCTAGAGAGATTTGTCAGGTAGGAAATTTTATCATGCAGTAGCCATTCATCAACATCAAACTTGTTTTTTAACATGCCAGAGAAGAAATCTGTAATGCCTTGGAAGTTACTCTCTTTTCTGTATATTGTGTTCAAAAGATGTGTATACTTGTAGTAAGGTTTATGTTAAGGTGGCTTTAACAATTTGTTGTGATTTTCCTTCTTTAATCAATGTGACTTTGATGCCATTAACTCCTGAGTGTTATTTTCTAAAAGGAATTTTATCTTTTTTTAACCTTTTTAAAAGCCTTTGAAAACAGTTCTTTCATGACAAAATGAACTGTATTGTTATCCACTTAAATATATATATTTGACAGTAAATGTTTAATATCACAAAAGATACATATAGAGAAATTTCACTAGTGTCTTTCATTATTAAAATACATCTCCTTGAAAGTTTTGTGTTACAACATTTTATTCAAGTTTGATGAGTTAATTACACTATTAATTTTAAGGTAAAATACTTCTATGCATAAGTAGATTTGAGTTTAATATTTCTTAATTCATCCTCATTATGTGGTCAAAATTAAACAGCTATTCCATGGTTAGATAATTATGCAAATTTTAAAATATGACATTGCATGTAAACACAGGTCCCCAGAAAATAGGAGTTGGGACAGAATCTGGAGCCCCAGTAAAGTAGAAATTGAATTTGGTCATTGGGTATAGGACTGGGTAGTTGAGGAGGGAAGTTACACTTCATGTGAAGAGGAAACAAAGCAGGGAAGTGATCTGAGGAGTTCTCTGGGGAAATAAAGGGCATATGTGTTTCAAATTTGGTCCTGGCATGGAGAAGTGGGCCCAGTTTGATTATGGCCTAATGGTAAATGCTCCCATGAGGTCCTGGGGCTTGCGTGGGAGGTAAGAAAGCAGAGAGAAGCTGCACTTCCAGGCACTGTTCATTCAATAAACATTTATTAGGCATATATTCAGTATCAGGCACTATTCCAGGCACTTTGGATTCAACATGAATGAAACAGACAAAATCTAAGCTTTTATGGAAGTTTTTATACTCTAGGGAAGAGGCAAAAAAAAATCAACACATAGATATATTATGAAATATATTAGAAGATATGTCCTATGGAGAAGATAATATAGGGAAGGAGGCTAGGCAATACTAATAGGATGGTCAGGGGAGGCCTGGTTCAGTAGGTGATATCTAAACAGAGAATCGAGGCCACATGTGTTGGCTCACACCTGTAATCCCAGCACTTTTGGGAGGCCGAGGCAGGCGGATCATTTGAGGTTAGGAGTTCAAGACCAGCCTGGCCATCATGGTGAAACCCCATGTCTACTATAAATTCAAAAAGCAGCCACGTGTGGTGGTGGGCACCTCTAATCCCAGCTACTCAGGAAGCTGAGGCAGGAGAATCACTTGAACTTGGGAGGCGGAGGTTACAGTGAGCCAAGATCACACCATTGCATTCCAGCTTGGGCAACAAGAGCAAAACGCTGTGTAAAACAAAAAGGAAAAAAAAGAATCTTGATAGAGAGTGGGGAGTGAACCTCAGGGTTACATGCAGACTGAAGGAGTACCAAGAGCAAAGGCTTTGAAAGGAAAGCATGATTGGCAGAATGAGCTGAAGTCTCAAGAAACAGAAAAATTCCAGAGTTCTCTTCTACTGTCACCACTGGACTAGAAAAGTTTTCATCACAGCCTGAGCTGTGAGAATGCTGCTTTTCCAAATCCCAAACACAGAGGCTCAGAGGCAGTGATGCTAACAAGACAGCAGCATTAGCAGCACAAGCACTGTGGGGAGGAAGTACCTATGCCCTTTGCCCAGCCTGAACAGTAGAGGTGAACACAGACATTGCCAGCAACTGTGTCCTAGAAAGGGTCAGCTATGGAGTTGGCATTTTAATTTCACAACTAAAGTTGATGTGGCTTGAAGAAACACCTGCAACACAAGTAAAATCCATATAAAACAAAATAAAAAACAACCTACTTCTGAAAAGGTGAACATTTGCAGGATTAAAGAAAATTATTCTAGAGAATGTTCCATTGTTCAATGACACTGTGTAGTCTTAAAACTCAAATTACATGTAATTCCTCATAGAAAATAGTTCCTTGGATTTGAAGTGCAGTTTCATACAGCCTAATTAACAAATAGAAAAGTTTCATAATTACTTGTTTTTCTTTGGGGGAGCTAATACTTATTAATTTTTGATATGAAATAGATTTCTTTCTTCTCTGCTTTTACTCACAGATTTTGGGGATGAGAAATCAAAACAAATATATTTAGCCTCAGCTACCAGTGCTTTACAGACCCTTTCTTGCCCTAAACAATACAGCACACTCCTAGTTGTTTGAAATTTGTGACTAATAAATAAAAATATATATATTTTAATGAATCCAGAAAAATTAGAAATAATTATTCTAGTAAGAAATAATGAGTTGGGGCACAGTGGTATGTGCAGGCACATACCACTGCACATACTACTTGGGAGACTGAGGAGAGAGGAAGGTTAAGGCCGTAGAGAGCTATGATAGCAACTGTGAACAGCCACAGTACTCCAGCCTGGGCAACACAGTAAGATTAAGATCCCATCTCTGCAAAAATAAAAATAATTATAAAAGAGTAGTACATCTCAAGCATTAAAATAAAGAATCAAGTTATGGCATTACTTTGAGCAAAAGAACAGGAAACAGTACCCAGGTAAAATCAACAATTGTTTTGTGGCCTTAGCTATTATTTGTTTGCTTTGTTTTGCAAAAGAATCAGTAAAATGGATTTAAAACAATTTCTGGATTGGATAGGTTATTCAGAGGGATATAATTCTAATCAAAATGAAGAAAAGAATAATAATATATGCAGCATGGGCGTGTTGTAATTTTTTTAAATGCATTTTCAAAAATTGTCTTGCTCTGTCTTCTTATTTTCTCTTCACTATGATGACTTCCCTTTTAGTTTTAATGACTTATGCTAGATTCTTTTAAAGCATAATATGTATTATACATATTCCCTAAAATATTCTTTTTCTATTAAATACCAAGTGAGCTTATTGTGCTACCTAAAATATTCATGATGCAATGCTTTGGTCTTAAAGGAAAAAAAAATTAAAAGATGGATTCACATCTTACTATGCGTGCCTGGTAAATTCCATGTCATTCAGAAATTTTAATGTGAAAATGAAACCGTGAAAATAATGTACAAATACATGAAATTACACTGGAATAGAGAAATCATCTCTCAGTAGCTGACAGAACAAGAAGAATCTAAAAGACTTGAATAATACTTTCAACCAACTTAATCAATTTGATATTTACTGAACACCACCAATAACACCAGCATGTATATTTGTTTTTTTAAGGGAACTTAAAATATTTACCAGGACAGAAAATATTCTGGGCCATAAAACAAATGCCAACAATTAAAAAGATGAAATCATACAAACTGTGCCTCTAATCACAATGGAACTAATTGAGAAATCAAAAACAGATATCTGGCAAGTCCTCAAATATTTGGGTAGAAGAAGAAATCACAAGAAAAATTAGAAAATATTTTTATCTCAATGAAAATTTAAACCAGCCTATCAAAGTATGTGGAATACGGCATACAGCTTACCTAGTTTTTCTTTTCTTTCTTTTTTTTTTTTCTTTTTTGAGGTGGAGACTTGCTCTGTCACCCAGGCTATGGCTTACCTTGTTTTTAAAAGGAAATATAGGCTGGGCATGGTGGCCCATGCCTGTAATCCTAGCACTTTGGGAGGTCGAGGTGGGCAGATCACCTGAGGTCGGGAGTTCGAGACCAGCCTGACCAACATGAAGAAACCCCATCTGTACTAAAAATACAAAATTAACTGGGCGTGGTGGTGCATGCCTGTAATCTCAGCTACTCGGGAGGCTGAGGCAGGAGAATCACTTGAACCCAGGAGGCAGAGACTGCAGTGAGCCAAGATCACGCTGTTGCACTCCAGCTTGGGCAACAAGAGTGAAACTTCAACTCAAAATAAATAAATTAATTAAAATAAAAAGAAATTTATAGCATAAAATGCTTACATTAGGTAAATAAAAAGCCCTCAAATCAATAATCTAAGCTCTTACCTTATGAAATTATAAGATAAATTATATCTAAAATAAGAGGGAATGATAACATTTTTATTAGAAGAAATTAATAAAGTCAAAATTTGGTTCTTCTGAATTATAAAATGATAAAATTCTAGCCAGACTAATAAGAAAAAAGGGGGAAAACATAAATTACTAATATCAAGATTAAGAAGGATACCACCACTGATCCTATGGACATTAAAATGTATAAGAGAAATAGTTTATGCCTATAAACTTGACATTGATGAGATGGACAGATTCCTTGGAAGGCAGAAACTACTAAAGCTAACTCAGAAGTGGACAGATAATCTAAGTAGGAAAATGCACACACACACACATTAATGACATTAAATTAATCCTAGCAGTTTGTGAGGCCAAGACAGGCAGATTTCTTGACCCCAGGAATTTGAGACCAGCCTAGGCAACATGGCAAAACCTCATCTCTACAAAAAATACAAAAATTAGCCAGGCAACATGGCAAAACCTCATCTCTACAAAAAAATACAAAAATTAGTGAGTGCCTGTGGTTCCAGCTACTTTGGAGGCTGAGGTGAGAGGATCACTTGAGAGGTGGAGGTGACAGTAAGCCAAGATTGCACCACTGCACTCCAGCTTGGGGAACACAGCAAGACCCTGTCTCAAAAAAAGAAAGAAAAATTTAAAAAATTATAGTCAAACTTTTTTTTTTTTTTGAGGTTCCAGGATTTTCCTCTGTTGCCCATACTGGAGTGCAATGGTACAAACACGGGTCACTCCAGCCTGGACCTCCTGCGCTCAAGCGATCCTCCCACCTCAGCTTCCCAAGTAGCTGGGATTCACAGGTACCTACCACCAAACCAGGCTAATGTGTTTTTAGTTTTTGTAGAGATGGGTCCTTTCTATGTTGCCCATGCTGTTTTGGAATTCCTCGGCCTTTTAGAGTGCTGAGATTACAAGTGTGAGCCACAGTGCCCAGTCTAAACATCTCCTCACAGAGAAAATCCAGGCCTATTTGCACTTCACTGGTGACTTCTATAAAACATTTAAGAAATTTTACTGCAGATTGGGAGGCAAAAACACATATAAGAAAGTAATAAAACCAGTACTCCTTATAACATAAATGTAAAAATATTAAAAGTTCATCAAATTGAATGCAGCAATATATAATTGGGTTTTATTCCAGGAATTCACTTTAACATTTAAGAATTAATCAAAAATGTTCCATACTAGCAGACTGAAAACCATTTGAACATCTGAATAAATACAGAAAAGCAGTTGATAAAATTCTGCAACCATTCACAATAAAAATTCTCAGCAAAGTACAAATAGAATGGAAGCTCTTCCATCTTAAAAAGAGTATCTACAAAAAAATGTACAGCTGACAGCATACTTTAGAATGGAAAACTAAATGTTTTATACTAAGGTATGGAACAAGAGATGGATGTTTGTTCTCATCCTTTCTATTCCATACTTTGCTGGAGGTCCTAACCTGTCTAACAAGGCAGAGTTTCTCAACCTTGGCACTGGAGACACATAAATAATTATTTATTTTGGGGGGCTGCCCATTCATTATAGAATGGTTAGTAACACAGCTGGCCTCTGCTTGCCAGACAACAGGGACATCCTCCTCTCCCAAGCCCCACCTCCTTGGTTTGTGTCCACTTCCTCCATCTTTAAAGCCAGCAAAATAGCATCTTCAAAATCTGACTTCTTATCTGGCCTCTGTTTCAGCTGGTCACATCCTTTTCTCTATCTCTGATTCTCCTGCCTCTTTCCTTCACTTGTAAGAACCTTTTATTTACGTTGTCCAATAGACAACATAATCAATGGATTATTGAGCCATCAGATAATGCAGGTAATCTCCTCCATCTCAGGATTCTTAATTTAGTCACATCTGCAGAGTCCTTTTTTGACATGTAAGGTAACATTCACAGGTCCTAGACATCTTTGTCACAGTATGTAGACATACTTGGTGGGATGTTTTTCTGCCTGGGTAAAAAGGTGTACAGTGAAGCTAGTATTCTATTCATTTGGTATATTGTGTAAAAACTGGTATTTTGAAAACCTGGTCGATATTCGCACTCTCTTCCATTAACTCTACCACCAGCCTGGACCTTGATTGATTGAAGCAGGATCCCACCTTGTCACCCAGGCTGAAGTGCAGTGGTGTGATCATGGCTCACTGTAACCTTGACCTCTACAGGCTCAAGTGATTCTCCCACCTCAGCCTCCTAAGTAGCTGGGACCACAGGTGTGCACAAACACAACTGGTGAATTTTTGTATTTTTTTGTAGAGACAGGGTTTCATCATGTCGTCCAGGCTACTCTCGAACTCCTGGCCTCAAGTGATCCTCCTGCCTCAGCCTCAGCCTCCCAAAGTGCTGGGATTATAGGTATGAACTACTGCGCTGACCTCCTCACTTCTAAAATAGAAAATAATTGGGCCAGGCATGGTGGCTCATGCCTGTACTCCTAGCACTTTGAGAGGCCAAGACAGGAGGATGACTTGAGCTCAAGAGTTTGAGACCAGCCTGGGAAATATGGTGAAACTTCATCTATACAAAAAAACACAAAACTTAACCAAGTGTGGTGGTGTGTACCTGTGGTCCCAGCTACTTGGGAGGCTGAGGGAGAGGATCCCTTGAGCCTAGGAGGTGGAGGTTGTAGTGAGCCATGATCACACCACTGTACTCCAGCCTGGGCAACAAAGTCAGAGCCTGTCTCAAAAGAAAAGAGAAGGGGAGAGGCGGAGAGGGGAGGAGAGGGGAGGGGAGGGGAAGGAAAATAGTGGCTGGGGGAAAAATATAGTCAATATTTCATCTCTTTCATAATCCTTAAAAAAAATTGATGCTCTTGTTCCAACCTGACAATATTTCATACTTGGACAGAAAATAAAAACTGACATATTGGGCTCATATAAGGCTGTGGCTGTCTACACAATTACAGCAACACTACCTGAAATATCAAAGTATGTATGGGACCATTATGGAAACAAGGGGGTGCATAGGATATTTGTTGAATTAAACCAAAAACAAAATATTTTAAACCAAGG